AAGGCTTTCAAATAAGTCATGGTTGTACGGCAGTGAAGCATCGGTGTTGAACACTGATGTCATGCTGTCGATGATGATGATGATGATTAGACACCCAGTTTATCTGGCTGCTTTCAGTGGTCGCACTTTGAGGCAGGTAAGACAACAAGCTGTTGTTCCTCTCAGTGGACTTGCTTGAAACTGATGTGCGCTGTGTATCGGAAACGAGAATTCAAGATACAGGCAAAATGTTTCAGCTAAACACCCATCACTCTCCAGTTGCTTCCGATTACGTACCTCTGGCGACCCAGATGCTGCTGAGGCAGGATGTGCAGGAGTTGGTATCATGGTCACCGTTCCGATTACGTACCTCTGGCGACCCAGATGCTGCTGAGGCAGGATGTGCAGGAGTTGGTATCGTCCATGGTCACCGGGCGCAAGGATCCTTCTTGACTGGATACCCGCTGATAGTCATTTCTATGCCGTTCGTCTGGTATTATCTGTGAAGTGGCCTCAATATAGGAAGTGCTGTCTGTCTGCATGCTTACGTCCCGACCGGCTGTTGCTCGCACACCATCAAAGGCCAGTTTTATGGCACGCTGAATACCACCCTGTTTCAGCGAGCTGAAAACTCACATAGCGCTGTGGTTGCCATAGATCTGGATGAAAAAGTGGAAGGCTTAGGGCATCTGAGAATCAACTAGGTGGTTGAAATGGATTGGATTCGGTAAGTACGGAAAATGGCGAACCATTGCTTCCGTTTTGTGCTGACAGTAGACTGTTTCTGTTCAGTGCTAACTTCCAAAAAACTGAAGTCTTCCAGGCACGCAATGTCTTCCAGCAGCGTTGAAGCTATGAACTCCAATTCATCATCATCAACCGATGGCGCTGATCAATAGGTGATTGTAACACATGTGGATTCCGACCACGCACTCGTTCGGAGTAGCTTCTCAGGTACGGGCAAATCATTTCGCAACTGAGCGGCTGGCAGATCCGGATGTTAGACTGACTTACCAGAATTATCTTCTGGAGTTCCCTCGAACTACTCCACCATCAGATGTAAATTCATGCTGGAACGAGATCACCACATCTTTGCACGGTTCTAGGACCTTTGCCGCGGCATGGCGCTATCAAGACCACTCAAGCACTGGATATCAGAGTGAATAGTGGCACCGCTTGAAATATCTTGCCGGTCTGGAACATAATTTGCACGACGAATCATCAGACGTCAAGCGACGACAGAGAATCTGGTGGATACGGAAGTCTAAAAAAATGGAGGACGCTCAGAAAACCGGGAATATCCGAGGATGACTTCAGTTGGTCCAGTACGACCGGCCCCCGGAAACCACCAAGGATAACAGAGAACTGATCATCTTGGGTAAAGAACGCCGATAACGCCGAGCCAAATACTTTGAAAAACTATTCTTGTGGCTATCAGCTGCCACTCATCTGGATCCTAAATCTGAAGTAGAACCCTGGACAGTGGACGTGGAACGCCGTACGGCCTCGGGGGTTTATGAAAGCATATGTTCTCTCAAGCGCCACCAACTTCCTCGTCCGGGTGACCTCCCACCCACACTGTTCAAAGATAGAGGTGACTCAGGTGCCAGAAGAATGTCATACACACAAACGGCCCACAAATTTAGTATTTATTGATCTCCAAGGCTCTTTCGACTCGGTCTGTTCTCCTTAACGAGCTTGCGAATCAGGGAATGCCCCAGGAGTTCGTGAATATAATTGGTTCGTTATATTCTCAGAATTTCGGACGTGAGAGTACATGGAGAGCTCTTCAAAAGCTTCCGTACAAAAAGCGGTGTCCGTCGAGAGTGCCCATTTTCTTCATTCCCATTTAATTGTGATCAGTGAAATCATGAGACGAACCCTGGTGTTCAGTTAGCTGCTCGCGAAAACCTTGTCGACCTGGAATGTGCAGACATCGTCCTCGTCGTCGAAGAGCAGAAGGCACAAGTATCATAGGATGAACTGACCAAAGTCAAACTGTCCTTCGCCATGCGTTTGGCATCCACGAGGTGTACGATCACGCTCCTGGACATACAGTCCCTGAACACGCCACCTACAAACCAGGGAT